TTCAAGCAGCTTGTAGTGAAAAATAAAGCCCGATAGTTATGTCACAAGGACAAAGAAATGAGCTGGACTATGACAAATGCTATAAAAGGCCTCTCATGATCAGCATATGCAGGGAGTAGACAGAACTGGTTTGCTGCAGACTGGTTCCCTGGTGGTTGTTGTGTTATGCTCAAGAATTTAAGCTTTCAATTAAAAGAAATCTGTCTGTAGTGCTTAAAGTTCAAAGATAACCTTCCAAGTGTAAACCACGTGCAAGCTGATATAAGCAGCGAGGTCTGCTGAAGGCAGCCTGAAAAGCTAGTTCAGAGCAAACTCAGTCAGTTTCTCTGCCTGGGCTGCTGGTGCCAAAATCTAACGGGAGGAGGTTGAAGAACTTGCTCACTAGTCAGGCCCATAAGAAGAGGAGCGATTGTCCTGTGCAAGTCTGCACAATTGATCAAGAGTGACATTTCTTGCTGGCAGCATGTGGGTGAAGTTTGGCTTGGGGCAGAGCTTGGGAAAGTCCCACCGGTTATTTCTTTCCAATTTGAGCTCTGACCATGTGAATGCAGATAGTTAGACTCTGCAGTCACTTGACACATTTTTCGGAACAACCTGAAGCATGTCCCGGAAAAGAAGACTTTTGCTTGTTACCCGTGGGGTGGTGTTCTCTGTCTGAGTTAGATCATACGGCCCTGTCTCCTGTTTACTTGCAAAAGTACCTTGCCTTGTGTTTAATGGTTAGGTACTTTTGGTCTGGATGAAAGACACTCTGCTTCTCACTGGGTTTAGAAGGACTCTGGGTTACAGTCTTTTGGGAAAGTTTGTTACTGTAACTGCCACGTTCCTGACTAGCAAAATAATGTTAACGAGGATTTGTGTCTTTTGAAAGCAATTTTCTGGAGAGGCACTGACCTGGCAGTGTAAAGCCTCCTCCCCTGGCGTCTCTCAGCCTGGCCGGCAGAGCGGGGCGCTTCCTGCCACGTTGGAGGGGCAGGTTTCTTCCAGCCAGCGGACAGGTGATGAGCCAGGTTCGGTTACCACCACGCAGCTTCCGTTCACCTAGCAAACCAGCGCTGCCGTCCTGCTGCACCAGGACTCGAAGCGATGTGGGGAGGGAGCTGGAGTAGGTCCCCGCAGGCCTCAGGCTGCCATGTGGGGCTGGGGGTGGGGCAGAGCGCAGGAAAGCAGAAGGGGCCGGCAGCGCTGGCCCCATGTCTCCTGGGTGACAGTGGTTTCTTTTGTCTTGCAGTGTAATTTGTGGCTTTCAGTTACACAGCCCCTGGGTGGGAGTGTCACTCAGTGGGGCAGGCAGTTAGCTTGCTTGAGGAGTCTCCCGAAGGCAGCTTATTATTTCCTGCTGGTTTCTTCCCTCCCGTGTTTCCAGATGCACCAAGTAAAAGCAACAGCAAATGGGGGGGGTGAACTGGATCTTGAACGCACAGACCTGCACAAACGCCGGCAGCTGGGGTCACTTCCCTTGGAAGTGTCGGCAGATTTTTTATTAATGGGTTCTGTGTTTGGCAGGTACCTTGCTCAAGAAAGAGATTCCTGTTAACCAACCAACCATCCAGCCCTCCTATCTCCCCCCTTGCAAATGCCTCACTGAGCACCAGCTACCTCTTGCTTAAACAAGTACAAATGAGAGAGAGAGCGAAACCTAACAAACAGAGCTGCATCCTGCTTCTTCCTGTTGGCTTGGCACTTGTAGTTGGCTCATGGTTTTGTGGTATTCGGTTTCAGGCTTAAGGATTTCAACCAGCCGGCATCGCTCCTGGGAGGAAGAAAGAATGAGCTATACTTTTCTCATTGGCCTGAACAAAAACAGAAGCCTCTGCTGGGGTTTGGGAGTGGTTTATGGGCTGAGCTGAGTGGCAGGGGAGTCCTTGTAATGCCAGAGGGAATAAAGGCGAGTGGCATGCTGTACCTATTGCGAGAGCCGAGGAGCTAAGCTCAGGGTTGTGCTGCTTGCGTGTTTGCCGGTGGGTCTTTTCCTTGAGTTTCTCTGCATGTACATGTGCTGCTGCGTTTCTGTGCTTGCATGTGTGCCTTTGTATCTCGGTGTTTCTGTGCTGGCCTTTGTTTCTCAGTGCCTGCATGTGGGTTTGTGTCTCTGCGTGTGTAATACGGGAGTTTGCTTTTGAGTTTGTCTCTCTGTTGTCCCTGTGTTTCCAGCACTCTGCCTTTGCTAAATGGGTTCTCTCTGTTGTCTCTTCTTGTGAGTCTCCGTTCTGTTTGCCTGTGAATTTGTGGGTTTTTGCATGTTGCCTCCCGATAGGTACTAAATTTCCCCAGATTTTTTGCAGAAAGGACAAACAAATAACATGCCTTAACTTGAACAATTTCAGGCTACTCGAGAGAGCATAAAACAAACTCTAGTCAGGAAGGGAGGCTTGCGGATTTACAGGCAGCTGCACGTTTTGAAAACCCAACCCAGGGGACATAGTGACATAAAGTGGAGACTTCAGGGACTGGAAATTGTACCAGTTGTGAAAGAGCGAAGCTTGGGCATCATTTGTGGGTGTCTATTTGCGGGGCAAGATTCACTCTCCTTGTTCTGCGCGGGAATGTGTTCCCCTAGCCCGTACTAGCTGCTCTGGCCCAGCGCACGAAAGGCAGAGCGCTGCTACTGGGCTCTGCAGAGATGCTGTTTCGAGGTTTCTTTCAGCACGTTCAATTTATTACGGATTTTGTTATGCAAAAACCTCAAAAAGAAAAAAAAAAAAGTTGAGTCTTGACCAAATTAGCAACTGTTAGTGATGACAAGCCTCTTGCTGGGGTTCGTGCGGTGTGTAAGATTAGCTGTGGCATGGAGCTGCGCTGAGAAGACCATGTGACTGCAGTGTACATTGGAAGAGGAAGCTGTAGAGGTCAATGCAAAGGCATTGTGCCAGAGTCTGGCAACAAGGGAGATTGCTGTATGGCGGAAGATTGCTTTTCAGACTCCTAACCCTTTCATTCACTGTTGGTGTTGGAGGAAAGCAGCTCTGTTTGATTAGCAGCAGAAATTAAATGCGCAGTAGCTTGTTGTGGCTGGTTCCAGTGAGAGGCAGAAAAAGAACTGATGTTTCCAAATGCTTTGTAAGCTTTTATTAACTCCCCTCAGAGGATCTTTTACTAAAGCCACCTTTTCTGGGAAGGAAAATGACTTTGCGTAGAGGAGTTTCAAGAAAGAACAAAAAGTTGAATGTTTCAGCTCTCTCTGCATCCACAAGACTTGTTTGGGGTCATTGCAGTTTGTTCAAGTTTGAGTTTTAAGGTTATAAAAGAAGAAATAAAACCCCAGCCAGTGGAGAGGGCTGCTTGTGACTGTCCAGAATATCTCACCTCACTTGGAAGTGGGAAGTGAATTGGTTTTAGACAGTTTTGGTTAACTTTGGGTATTTATATTTGACCTTTTGAAGTCTGAAGGTAGTAGACTGTAGCAGGATTTGAGTTTTCACTTGCAAATGTCACCAGCCTCAATATTGTCCTCATGCTGAAACATTTCAGCCTGTTTTGCTTCTTGTTTCTTTTTTTTAAATAGCCGTTTTCTATCTGCCTTTCTGCGGGCTGGTTGAAAGGAAGAAAACTTCGATTGTAGGCTGCTGCTTTGTTTTTAATTTCCATCTGATTTGTAACCAGCAACATCTTGAGAGAGGAGACGACAGGGAAAGATTTAAAAAAAAAAAAGATGTATTTGAGAGCTCAGGACTCATATTTTGAAGTGGAGCATATTGCGAGTCTAGACAGCTTCTTGGCTGGCTGTGATTTTTGAAGCATCTGAAATACCCCAGGGGTAGAAAATCTCTCGTCCTGCTTCCAAAGGCTGCAGCAATGCCACCGCGGGCTGGAGGAGAGAGATGTAGTGGTACGAGGAGAGGTTTGAATTGTGCGATGAAGACACAGGACTTTTTTGAAGCCCACAAATTGACTGTCTTCATGACAGCATTGCGTATCATTCTGTCAACTCCGGCACTGGATGTGGTTGCTAGGCAGCAGGCTCTTATGTATCCAAAGTCTCTCTGATTTGCCAGCCTTCTGCAGACACATGGTAAGGTCCTTTCTAGCCTATCATCTAGAGGGACTTTTGCACGCCGTCTGCATACTGCTGAGATTCTCTACCTGAATGTGATGAGAAAAAGACACAGTTAAATTCAAACCTTTTTTTGATCCTTTATGGTCCTGTTGCCACAACCAAAAAAAAAAAAAAAGCCATGAAACGGCGACCGGAACAAGGAAAAGAGGTTAGTGGGTTAAGTGGTGTGCGTTTCCTGCATTTGCAAAGGTGCCTGTAGTGAGGAGGGCGGCTGTAATTCGGCCATTAGTTACTGATGGTGGCTGGAGGCTCGAGATTCGTGCAGTAAGATGAGAGCTGTTGTATACCTTTGCAGCAGTGTTGACATGAAATCGCTCTGAAAAATGGATCTAGAGGGCACCAAATACAGTGAATTTGATACTTTACAATGCAGCAGGCTGATTCTTTTCATTGTTTTGGTGCAGAAATATCTGGAAATGAGAACAAAAACCAGTTAGTTTGCCAAATGAGACTTCTACCCTTCAGCCCATGCAAAAATGGTATTGGTAGCTGTTAGGTGATGCGTGACCAGAGGGCTTTATAGGCAAATGAGAGTTTTCAAAACTTTGTTCTTTGAATCAATATGTACACAACTTTTGGTGAAGGTTATGTCAGCCAGGCAGTGGAGGGGAACCTTCACAAGATTACTTTGCAAGCAGAGTGGCATGGGGAATATTTCTAAACAGTTGGACTAACAGTCCCCAACCTGTTTTAACGAATAGTTTCCTATCCAGGCATTGGGGTAGCAAAGATAGAATTAAAGAGAAGCTTTTTCTCCCATTTGAAGTCCAGTTATAATCCTGTTTCTGCCCCATGACGTGACTGTAAAAATGCAGCAGTTTAATTGGTAGAGACCTCTACACATGCACAGATCACTTCACATGAATTAATGAGCAACATTCGTCTCACATTTGTGGTTAGTAACCTTTGGCTCTTGTACATTTTTCCCTTATTTGCTTTTCAGGTATTGTTTGATGAGTGTGAAAGGATGCTTCACTGATTTTCACATTGATTTTGGTGGCACTTCAGTGTGGTATCACGTTTTCAGAGGAGGGAAGGTAAGTGGACCAGGCAGTGTGATGCCTTTATTCTTCTGTACTTCTTACGAAGCCTGTTGTTCAGAGGATTATTTTAGTATGATCAGTGTATTTATTTATTGCTTCTAAGGGATGAAGTGGTAAATCTCTTGGAATCAACTCAGGTGAAAAATGTGGAGTTTTGCTCAGCTGGGTATAGAGCCTTTCCATATATGAAACAAGCATGCTGATTGTCAGGGCAACAACAAAAAAAGGAAGCGTTTGTTGTGAAAAACCTTATTGTACTGCATGGTATTGGCAATATCTTGCAGCATGTAACTGGCTGTGTACCCTTGCTGGGTCAGAGTGCCCTTATCACATCTCCTTAGGTTGCCAGAACCTCTTAGCTTCCTTTTACAGTTTTCAGGATGCTTTATGAATGTGCACACAGATGAATTGATACATGAAGGCAAAAAATGATGGAACTAGTAGCAGACACAGCTACAGATGCATCTTTCTAGGTATATGTAGCTGTAGGTTTAGGTAAATTTTGCCATATCTGAGATTCCAGTGTAGAAAGATACTACGCATGAATTAAAATAATTACAGCAAATAGTACATCTTTCTACTTCTGATATTATTTATCTATCCAAACTGGTAATATAATAATATATACTACACTAATTTGAAAGTAAGCTCCTAGAGGATGTTTTATGGAGGCAGTATAAAGTAGGTAGTGAGTGACCTTGCCATTTCCAGCAAATGTGCTGGTTACTGCTATAGTGTGCCAGGGGCCTGTGTGCGCAAAACCTAGGAAATGGATACTTGATGCTGAAAAGACATTTGCTGTGTGTGTTCATTCCACTGGCACACACTTACCTGGTGGGGAGTTCCTGGCTCTTTCTCTTCATCAGCTGTTTGTAAGAGTTAAACTTTTGCTTTATTTTTAGATCTTCTGGCTGATTCCGCCTACTCTGCAGAATCTAGAACTTTATGAAGAATGGGTTCTCTCAGGAAAGCAAAGTGATATCTTTCTGGGAGACAGGGTGGAACGATGCCAAAGAATTGAGTTGAAACAAGGCTATACATTTTTTATTCCTTCAGGTAAACTCTCGATAGCTCTGACTCTTGTCAGAATCATCAGACTCCTTGCGTTTGATTAACAGTCCCTGTGTGCAAAATAAAAATGCCGTGTCGGAGCTTCTTTGTTGGCAGTCTCAGAAGAAAGGCTAGGGTCTGGATGGGCATAATTCCACAGTGGGCCCCGAAGGCCGGGCATGAGACGTGCCTGAGGGGGGTGCACGCTGCAGTCACTTGTGTTCTGATTAGTCTGTGGATAAAAAAAGGACTTTGGTTTTCAGGACTCCAGCGCTTCCTATCCTCAGTTTACTGCAGGGTGTCCCACTGTATTTTCTGTCTGTTTGAAAAAGCAAATTTGTCCTTCCTTTGGTCTCATATAACTGTGCTAGCATAGATCTCCTATGACCACAGTCTAGTCTGTCTCAGTAAAGTTTCACTTGTAGTTTGGAAACTTTCATCCAGACTCTCAGTCTGTGCTTATAGCCAGCAGTGAGAGACAGGGCTTCAGAGGCGCATTTAGATTCATTGGGGCCCAGAGCCCTCCTCCACGACCTGGGTGCCATCCCCCATGGCCCAGGTACGCCTGACTCACACCCTGCCCCTCAGCTGTGGACTCCATTCCTGGCCGGTGTAGTGACCTGAGTGGGACGCGCTGCTCCCCAGGCTTGGGGCAGAAGCCACGACTGCCCCTGCCTACAGCTCTGTGCTGGAGCCGGAGCCAGAGGTGGAGTTGGAGTCGGAGCCTGGGGCTGGTTGCATGACGTTGCCCTACAGTTGGGTAACACCAGGCGTCCAACGTGGACCGAGCTCTGGGGGCGACCCCTTGACGCGCCACAGCTCTGTCTGGCTGCAGCGGCATCTGGAAAATGCTCTGGCTTGCAGCTGGCCTGGGCTGGGACCTGGCTGCACTGGGGCTGCCCCGCCACTGCCAGGT